AAAAAAACTCATCACCTGGTGCCTTTTCAGGCAGCACATTTCGGAATGTTAAAAAACAAAAAGGTATTTTGGGGAACGTCCCGAGCTTCCCTTTGTGGGAATCTTGAATTCCCAAAGGGTTTATAGAGTAAGAAAGGACTGGGTTGTGTCTGTTAGAATGGAAAGGGTCTAATTCTTGGCCCTCATCCCTGACACCCACACAAAGCCACTATCAAATTCCCCAGGAGTGGGGAGCCATCACTCGGCACAGGATAAATTTAGTCACCACGGGACAGAAATAGGATGTGGAGAAGTTCATCTGGCTTTGGAGGATCAAATGGCAGGCAAAGCATCCCCAGGAACACAGCTGGCAACCCCCACCTCCAACGTCACAAACTGTTCTGGTGGCTCAAAAGGTTGGATTGGGGAAATTCAACATTGAAATTGGGTGATTGGACCAGATACTGAAAGAGTTAAATAAGGCATTAATGAAATGTTGGCTGAAGATCTGGGAAAGTATTGAGGGAAATAACAGCCAAAATATAAATTATCTGTGGGATAAAAGGTGACAATATGAGTTTGAGGCAGGAATGTCTGGGCATCTCAGCAAAGCTGATGGAAAAATTTAAAGGGAGAGAAGGAATGTGACAAGGACACGAGGAATGTGACAAGGAATGAGACAAGGAGAGGCTGAGGGAGCTGGGGGGGCTCAGCCTGGAGAAAAGGAGGCTCAGGGGGGACCTTCTCACTCTCTGCAACTCCCTGACAGGAGGGGGGAGCTGGAGGGGGGTCGGGCTCTGCTCCCAGGGAACAAGGGACAGGATGAAACGGCCTCAGGTTGTGCCAGGGGAGGGTTAGATTGGATATGAAGGAAAATTCCTTCACAGGAAGGGTGGTCAGGCACTGGCACAGCTGTCCAGGGAGTCCCCATCCCTGGAAGTGTTCAAAAAACCTGTGGATGTGGCACTTGGGGACGTGGGTTAGTGGTGGCCCTGGCAGTGCTGGGGGAATGGTTGGACTCGCTGATCTCAGAGGGGTTTTCCAACCTCAGGGATTCCACGATTCTCTATCACTTCACGGGAAGAGGGATAACTGGTTAAACCCAGCTTTGGCTCCCACATGGATACACCGGTGTCTTAGATCCATCCAGTTCAGGTTTTTGGGATGTGAACCCTCTCAGGATCCCATATTTGCCTGCTGGCGTTTCCGGATCAACCCGGAAGGAGGGAAGGAATCAAATCCAAGGTGTTCCTGTATTTGGGGTGACTCACATCAGTGGCCAGGTGATACAAAGCCTGGTCAAGGTTTCCTTGAGCGATACAGAACAGCCCCAGCCCACGGTGTAACCTGGACTGGACAGCAGCAGGGCAGTCTGGGGTCTGCAGGACGATCCACTCGGCCTCAGAGAGGTACTTGGATGCCTGTCGGAGATTCCCAGTGCCTGGAATGACACGTGGAAAAAAGCAGGGAGATAAGAAGGATAAAGAGCATTTTTTTAATCTGGAAAGTCAGAGGATCCTGCCTGCCTGCTGTGCCTTTGGGTAGTTGGATCTGGAGATGGAGTTTGTGGATTCCCCACTTCTCTCCCGTGTGCTCCTGAGCTGCCCACGTGTCCAAAGGCTCATTTACACCCAGGCTGAGGGTCGAGAGCTACAAGAGGAGTCAGAAACCACAGAATCCCAGGATGGATTGGGTTGGAGGGACCTTAAAGCTCATCTCATCCGTGCCATGGAATAAAATTCCAGAATTCCAGGATGGTTTAGGTTGGGAAGGACCTTAAAGCCCACCCAGTCCCACCCCTGCCATGGGCAGGGACACCTTCCACCAGCCCAGGCTGCTCCAAGCCCTGTCCAACCTGGCCTTGGACACTTCCAGGGATGGGGGAGCCACAGCTTCTCTGGGCAACCTGTGCCAGGGCCTCCCCACCCTCACAGCCAAGAATTCCTTCACAATATCCCAGTCTAGATCAACTCTCTTTCAGCTTAAAACCATTCCCCCTTGTCCCAAGTCCCTCTCCAGCTCTCTTGGAGGCGCTGGAAGGGGCTCTAAGGTCTCCCTGGAGTTTCCCTTCCCCAGGCTGAACCCTCCCAGCTCTCCCAGCCTCTCCAGAGGGTTTATTGCCCTCAGTATCTCTGGGACACGTGTCCCAAACAGGTTCACTCCATGACTCGCACGTTATCACACTGGAATTACTCACAGGGATTTTTTTCCCCTGCTCTCACCACACCATTTAGGAGGAGCCCTGAGCCAGCCCCGCTCTGCCGGCAGGGCACTGGATGTTCCTGGAATGGCAGGGATTTACATGGAGCTCTCAGCCCTTTGCAGAGCAGCTCCCATGCCCTAATTTGCCGTGTTTTCCAAAGCACACAACGAGGAAAAGCTCTGCTCAGGCAGAGTAGGATTTGTGAATGGACCGGGGGCGTTCCTGGGGTGCGACGGCCTCAGAAAAAAGCCCGTTCCCTGAGATAAAAAGCACAGCCAAGCACCCTCGGGAATGTGATGCTTCAGGGAGCCATCTGAAGTCACAGAGGTAAAGAGCAGACTTTCATTCGGCTTCTCTCGTGGGAATTGGGGGAGAGGGAGCGAACATTCCAGTTGCTTTCATTGATTCTCTTCCCCAGCCCCACAGCAAGGGGGTGTGAGGAGGGTGTGTGTTCGGCAGTCCTCAAATCTCCCCGCAACGCGCCCTGGAGGCAGAGCAGGGCGCAGAGCCGGCCCTTCCCTGATAAATGGGAAAAGGAAACCAGAAACCTGACCCCCAGGAGGCCTTGCCCTTGCCAGGGGTTGGATTCAGACAATGCTCACCCGTGGAGGCCTCGGCCAGGAGGAGATAAACGGGCACCAGTTGCACGGAGCTCCAGCCGAACACGCGGGCGCTGAAGCGAAGCGCCTGCAGGGCTGCAGGGAGGGCTTCCAGGGCCTTCCCTTCCCAAAGGAACCCCTGGGCAGCACTGGCAGCCACCTCCACGATGGACTTCTGCAGGGAAACACAGGGCAGGGCAGAGGGAGAAAAGAGGAGAGAGAGAAAAATCACAGAATCGCTGGTTTGGGTTGGAGCGACCTGAAAATCCATCTTGTTCCATCCCCTGCCATGGAATAAAATCATGGAATCCCAAACTGGTTTGGCTTGGAGGGAACTTAAGGCCCATCCTGTTCCACTCCCTGCCATGGGATAAAATCATGAAATCCCAGACTGGTTTGGCTTGGAGGGACCTTAAAGCCCATCTCATTCCACCGCCTGCCATGGAATGAAATCATGAAATCCCAGGATGGTTTGGCCCAGAGGGACCTTAAAGCCCATTTCATTCAATCTCCTGCAGTGGAATAAAATCATGGAATCCCAGACTGGTTTGGCTTGGAGGGAACATAAAGACCATCCTATTCCATTCCCTGCAATGGAATAAAATCATGGAATCTCAGACTGGTTTGGGTTGGAGGGACCTGAAAGCCCATCTCATTCCACCCCCTGCCATGGAATAAAATCATAGAATCTCAGATTAGTTCGGTTGGAGGGACCTTAAAGCCCATCCCGTTCCATCCCCTGCCATGGAATAAAATCACAGAATCCCAGACTGGTGTGGGTTGGAGGGACCTGAAAGTCTATCCCCCTCCATCCCCTGCCATGGAATGAAATCATAGAATCCCAGACTGGTTTGGGTTGGAGGGACCTGAAAGCCCATCTCATTCCATCCCCTGCCATGGGCAGGGACACTTTCCACCAGCCCAGGTGGTTACAATTGCACAGCCTTCTTTTCAAATCAAGTTTTCAGACTCTAGAGCAGTGATTGTAATGCAGTTTGTGGCTGTAATTAATAGGCAGACATTAAAGCTGTCATATTAGAGCATATTAGAGCATATTAGAGCTTGGCTTCATTCCTGCTCCGAGCAGGAACAGCTTTGGCCATCCCTGTGGGTCATGTGGTGTCTTCCAGGATGAAGAATCCTTTACTGCTCCTGACAAGGGCTCACAAGGCTGAGCAATAAAAGCTGTGAAGCACAGAAAATGATCATCACAAGACCAGAGCAGAGCTCAGACAAAGGGGCTCCGCTGGGCTCTGCCGGGAACGCGGCTGACTCAGAGGCAGCGGAGCAGCTCCGGTGGTGCCAGCCGGGCACAGCTCCGGCTGCCAGAGCCAGGAGGGAGCTCCTCACACACAGTGCAGCTTCAGCCCACCCTCTCCTGGCCAGCTCTGGGCTGGTGCTTTGGGTGCAGAGGCTGGAAATGGGTCAAAACCCAAATGTGTTACACCCGGAAAATCCACCACCGGGGTTTGTGGGGCAGCAGCGTCTGGGCTTGTTGTCAGAATCTGTGAGTTATCCTGTACTTATCCATGTCTGGCTCCTCCCTGCCTTTTGCTGCTCCTGCCAGTCCACACCATTTGGTCTTTTCACCCTTTGCAGCATCTGCTGTGACCCCCAGCTCCACAAACATCTCCATCCAAATGCTGCTCCCTGCCAGGAGTGTGGATGCTGTGCCCTCACAGGGAAAAAGAGCCAGGATCCTTGGAGAACCCCAGAAAGGTTTGGATTGGGAGGGACCTAAAGCCCATCTTGTTCCACCATGGGCAGGGATGCCTTCCACTAGACCAGGTTACTCCAAGCCCCATCCAGCCAGTTCCCAACACTTCTCCATCAGCTTTTCCCACCAGTGGTGCTGCAGGGAAGCTGCCTGGGAAGCAGTGGGATGGGAGGGAAGTTGCTGTGAAGCAGTGGGATATCAGGGAAGCTGCCTGGGAAGCAGTGAGATGGCAGGAAAGCTGCCTGGGAAGCAGTGGAGCTGCAGGGAAGGTGCTGGGAAACAGTGGGGTGGTAGGAAAGCTGATGGGAAGGAGTGGGGTGGCAGGAAAGCTGTCTGAAAAGCAGTGGAATGGCAGGAAAGCTGCCTGGGAAGCAGTGGGATGGCAGGAAAGCTGCCTGGGAAGCAGTGGAGATGGCAGGAAAGCTGCCTGGGAAGCAGTGGAGATGCAGGGAAGCTTCCTGGGAAAGAGTGGAGCTGCAGGGAAGGTGCTGGGAAACAGTGGGGTGGCAGGAAGGCTGATGGGAAGGAGTAGGGTGGCAGGAAAGCTGTGTGGAAAGCAGTGGAATGGCAGGAAAGCTGCTGGGAAGCATTGGGATGGCAGGGAAGCTGTCTGGTAAACTGCCTGGGAAGCAGTGGGGTGGCAGGGAAGCTCCCTGGAAAGCAGTGGAATGGCAGGAAAGCTGCTGGGGAGCAGTGGGATGAGAGGGAAGCTGCCTGGGAAGCTGTCTGGGAAGGAGTAGGATATCAGGAAAGGTGCCTGGGAAGCAGTGGGATGGCAGGGAAGCTGCCTGGGAAGCAGTGAGATGGCAGGGAAGCTGCTGGAGAGCCCTGGTAAGTCAGTGAGGTCCTGACTCCCTGGGCACCCCAGAAAATACCACTTCACCTCTTTATTACCTTCTGCCTCCAGCTGGGGCTAAGCTGGGCAGAGAAACCATTCCCAGGGCTCCTGGAGGCCAGGCTTTGGCATTTTGCTGAGCTCCAAGTGCTCAGAGTGAGGCAGAGAGGGTCATGCCAGAGGTGAAGGAGCAGCTCAGGGACAGGGAAGCTCCAGGACAGCCCGGGAGTGTTTCCTGGAGATCCTGGCTGAGGTAAAGAGACACTGGTTTGGATAAATGAGAGCTTCAAAGAACACAGCCCAGAGCAAGAGTCCCCTGCCAAGAGCTGGAAAACAGCAGCCATCCCTGAGCTACCAGGATATGGAGAGGGAAAAGGAAGGTTTTCCAGAGAAGCTGTGGCTGCCCCATCCCTGGAAGTGTCCAAGGCCAGGTTGGAGCAATCTGGGCTAGTGGAAGGTGTCCCTGCCCATGGCAGGGGGTTGGAATGATGGTCTTTAAGGTCCCTCCCAACCCAAACCAGTCTGGGATTCTATGAAACCCAAACTGTATCCAGGGAGCACGTGGTGCCCAGGGGAAAGCCAGGACATGCTTGGGGCAGCAGCAGGAAAAGCTGGTATTTCTCAGGCTGCTTTTTCTGTCTGTGCCAGGCTGGTGCAACCAGCGGGGCCCTGGTGCGTGGGCACAGCCCAGATTGGCATCTGGGAGGGGCTGGAGATCGGGATCATTCCTTTTTTTACTCCTTGTCGATGGGATCATCTCTGCTTCCCAAGAGTGAACTATCTGAAACATCTGCAGAGCTGGGGGTTGGACCCTGGCACAGCTTCCAGGAGGTGGAGGAAGGGCAGGAGGCAAGAGGAGCCCTGGAGCCCTGAATATTTTCTACCACAGTTCCAAGCCTGGGGGGGACCATTCCCTTTGGCCCTGAACAGCCCTGGGGGGATCACTGGATCATTCCCTTTGGTCTGAAC